TTTCAACTGCAGCTTGGTAGTTTTTTACCAGTGTTATCCAGTCCTCAGGTGAAGCTGCTCTGTGTTGAAGATGGCTACAGACACCCAGGTTTCCAGGCAGTCAGTGGGGGGTTACAGCCCAGAGATGGAGGGAGGGCTGGGGTGCCAGCTTAGGAATTGCCAGGGGTGTTTTGAAGGTAGTATGGGTGGAAAGCTGTGTCCAGGAGCCCCCTAAATGCCTGTGAAGGCATCCACTGACTCTTCAGATGTGCCACTTAAGTTTTCCTCTCCTTCACCCAGATACTCTGTGCGATTTCAGCTGCAGTCTTTGGCTGCAGGCAGTGACCCTGGGTGGTTTGCCTAAAGAGAAAGGAGACTCTTTGAGCTCTCCCCATCTGTCTGGGTGACTTTGGTTAGGGTTTCTTTCCCATGTCAGAGGAACAGGGTGTAAAGGAGAGTTGAACAGAACAGAGGCCAGAGGAGCAGAGCAAGAAGGTGGGACATCACCTGACATCAGCACAAAGATGTGGCTTTTGGCTCCACGTTTACTGGATGTGTTAAGGATTTCATTGTTTGTTTTTTCTTTGTTTTCAGATGCAGAGCCCTGGGCCCAGGAGGCTGCAGGCACCGGAGGGGAGGTGATCCGGGTGAGTCCCGGTGAGCAAGGTGAGCATTGACTCCAGGACAGGACTAGATGGTCTTTTCCAGGTGTAGTGGTGAATCTGTGCACATGCTTTGTTTCTTGTGTTTTCCAGGGGTTCTGCCACCTTCTAACAGACAGTCCGATGGTTCAGGGCCCCTGCGGGTAAGAGGTGACTGTGGAGGAGAGGTAGGTAGGAGCTACCCCAGGAAAGCCATCCTTTCAGGCAGTATCTCAGTGTGAACATTTGCCTTTGGCTTTTTTACTTTGCACAGAATGTGTGCAGCCTCAGAGGGCCGGAGCCACTTGCCAGTTTAGGTTTGATGGTCTTCAGCTGTCCTCATCAGTAGTCTCCTACTACTACGAGGCTCATCAATTAAAGCTGAACCTCTTCCAGTTGCAGGTGCCCTCCTGCCTGCCTTTGGCAAAGGAGGAGCATTGAGGTTGAGTTGGGGAGGAGGTGCTGGGGTCTCCCTTAATTTCAGGAACACCCCGTAACTTTTTTTCTCACTCCCCCAGGTACAGCACACGGTGACGGCAGCAGCGTCTGACTCGGGTCAGAGCCAGTGGCCCGAGCCCCTCTCAGCTCAGAGGTCGGTGAGTAGCCAATTGCAGGGTTATCTCCCACGTGCTGCCCAACTCTTGTGTCAGTTTCTGTTTTCTTTCTCACAGCCGACCGAGTCAGGGATCACAGGACCCTCTGAGCCAGCCGGGCGTCCTTCCTTGGCATCGAAGATGGATTCACATCCTCAGCTGTGGGAAAGATAAGTGGAGGACTAGCACCTGGAAAGGGGATGAGAGCTGGGTCCAGTTTTATGGCATCTGGCTAACCTTTGGGAGCAGATAAGCAGTTGAGATGAGTCAGGGAGGCAGCAGGAGGAGCAGGGATCCACTGTTGCTTTAGAAATGCCTTTAAGTTTGTCTGTAGCTTGCTCAGGTATCCCAGAAGATGACAGCCACAGTGTGTGACTCCAGTCAGAACCAGTGAGCTCATCCAGCAGGCGGGCTCCAATGGGATAAGAGCTCTCCCTTTCTTTCATTGAATGGGATTTCTCAAGCTATTCCTGCTTTATTGAAGCATCAGCTTTGGCATCCAAAGGAGCAGAGCTGCTTATGGCAATAAAGAGGATTACACTCAAATGCAGGGTTTTTAAATTGAATAATTTTGTGTGCTGTGTTGGTAAGATGCTTTTGTAATTTGTTATTTTTTTTTTTTCTTTTCCTTAGGAGCTTTGCATCTTTTGGGATCTCCCAATCATTTCAACTGCAGCTTGGTAGTTTTTTACCAGTGTTATCCAGTCCTCAGGTGAAGCTGCTCTGTGTTGAAGATGGCTACAGACACCCAGGTTTCCAGGCAGTCAGTGGGGGGTTACAGCCCAGAGATGGAGGGAGGGCTGGGGTGCCAGCTTAGGAATTGCCAGGGGTGTTTTGAAGGTAGTATGGGTGGAAAGCTGTGTCCAGGAGCCCCCTAAATGCCTGTGAAGGCATCCACTGACT